TAACAAAATCACAACCCAACTGACCACCTGGGACATTTCGACTGATATGTTACGCTTTACTTCCACACAGCTTGGTTTGTTGGCTGCAATTCTGTGTGATAAATGGACTACACCCTCTAGTGTTGAACACAAGAAAATTAATTTCACTGAGGACAGACTGGAACATCACTGCAGCCATAGGAAAGAGGCTAATTTCAAAGAATGTGCGCGTAGAGCATTACCATGACCAAAACCGGACAAATAATGCATAACGATGGAGAACAAGTGAGGCCATTTTTGTGAAATATTTCCCACTGTGCGTTCACTTGTCTAAGCTTGCTTCTTTTCAACCAGACATTCACACAATATGCCTGCAAACATAGTCAAACAGCTGAATAACCTCCTACCCTTTAAGTTAATTTGTTGGTCCAAATTCACACCAGTGGAATTTAACAAAATCCACCACAACTGTTTATAAATGGACTCAAGGTAAATTTCATTCCGTGATCCTGGAGGTTCCAAGAAGCTTCGATTCACTAAGGATTGGACAGTGTTCTCAACCACCATCATCAAATCACCAAATGAGGGAATGTCCTTTGGAAGAATGGTGTTTATCCCTCCGGTAGAGTTCCAGAGACTTGGAGAACTAAAGCCAAGAGGCAGGGAAGCTGTTCGTGTGGCCCAAAACCTCACTCAGACACTTTATGTTGGTTTTTCCTTTACTTTGTCACCATGTGCCAACAAAACAGCGTCAATGCACCTTAGCATTGATTCTTTAAGTCTCTGGAACTCTGCTGGAGGGATGACTAGAGGGAGGACGCCATTCGTCGCCTGTATGTTGTAAAAATACGGATCTGAACTTAAACATAAGTGTGGGAAACCCTGAGCAGCATACGTGCTTGTTTTGACAAAAGTGCATTTTCAACTGAATAATGTTTCCCTTTCCTATAAGCAGTGGGTCGGCGTAGTGGAGCATCTAGAAATACTGCCAGATAAAGTTTGTAAACCACTGTCCCGATGAGCCGGGATGCTTTAGAAACAGCAGAGACTCATGTGTGTCCTGACCTTGAGTTTCACGCTGTAACGTGCAGAGACTATTTACTGCTATCACAAACAAGCAAATGCTTGGTGGAAAGAAATAACAATGCAAGTGAAGGCTGCGCTGGCCTGACACTGTCTGGCTGAGTCACAGTTTAAGCTCTCAGAACCCCCCCCTCCCTCGTTCCTTCACGTTTCAGATAGCATATCTCCACATGTTAGGGTTTCACTCTGTCATGTTGTCCTTTCAATCAGTACATAATTGGATCAGTGGCAGCGATTTGATAAGCGCGATGTATCTGGCTCAAAACAATCATATATACAGTGTCAGAGCTGCATGATCTTCTCAAACCACTCTGGGCATCGCTGATCAAGTCCGTCAACGGCCTCGGCTAGACACATTCCTCAGCGCGGACCCGACCAGAAGCTGTGCCAAGAAACACACACACGCTCGTTGAAATCACACACAAATACAGTAAGAAAAATAGGGAGAAAGCATCAGATAAAGCCTTCTCTTTCTAATCCTCTCACTCGGATAATTAAAAATACTCACAGCTTGCCGTGGGAGGCCTTATCCTCCAATCTACAGCTCCTAAATGCCGAGCAGCTTTTACCTGGATTTGGGTTTAGAGCACTCGGTTCACCCAAGTGGTGTTTTGGCAACAGCAGAGACCCAACTATCACTGCCAACAGATTAACATGACAACAGAAAAAAAAAAAAAATCTGTGCAGTATGAATGAATTAACATGCCCCGACTTTATGAATGAATGAACTGTGGGGGTGTAAAAGTTAAATGGAAAAGACTGGACAGAAATGCTTGATTCTTGTAAATACATAAAATGCAAACGCAGACCGGAGAGCAAAAGAAGCGTGTTAGAGTCAAAAACATCAAAAGTGCTTAGATCCAGCTAGGGGAAGGCCAAAGAAATGCCACTCAGGTAACGGCATGCACCCACGGGCCTCTCTTGTATTTTAATTGCTAAGTGGATGATCTGGGATTATCCCTCATAAAATGTTATTGTCCTGAAAGGAGACAAAGATATCTTGTGATCTCTGTGGGATTTAATCTATTGCTATCTCGCGAAGAAAACAGACTCGGCGCTTTGGCCAAAACACGGTGTTCTGTCCCATTATCATCACCTAGTGGAAGTGCATGGAGGGAATCAACGGGGGCTGTTCTTATGGAGATGAGCCAAACATTAAAGCTGCACCCCAAGAGTTAAAAAAAAAAAAAAAAACATCACAGCAAAGTTTTTCTCACCTGCATCTCACAGCGTGTGCTGCAAAACTACACTAAGTGCTTCCCTAAGCCTGACTGAATCAACAAGAACGGCAAATATTATGTGTACTGTAGGTTTAAAAAGAGTTGAAATCAGCATTTTCTTGGATGCTAATTTAACCGAAAGTAAGGGGAAGAACTTAAGTTGTTTCTTTTGAGACTCTTACAGTGTTGTCGATACTCATGCAGCCAAATCTGCTGCTGATTTACTGATGAACTGCTGTGAAGTGGGACAAAATGAAAAGATGAATCCATGCAGGAGGAAACATGTCATGTAAGTGAGCACTAGCGTCATGCACTGGTACCCACAGCGTAAAATTCAGCAGTAGAATGACAGCATGTACTGTCAAAATACTGCAAGTGCTTCCCGGAGCCTGACTAAATCAACATATATGAGAAATATCATGCAAACTGTAGGTTTACAAAGAGTTAATACTTGATTAATGAGCAATTTTAGGATTCAAATTGCACTTAAAGTAAGTGGGAAAACTTCAGCGGTTTCTCTAGAGACTCTGGCAGTATTATAGATACTCATGCAGTCAAATCTGCTGCTGATATACTGATTAGTAGCACAAAACTAAAAGAATAACCCATCCAGCAAGATACATGTTGTATAATTCAATATTAGAGTCATGTACAATAACTTACAGAGTAAAATCCAGCAGTAGAATGACAGCAGGTACGACACCAAGTGTTCCCTAAGCCTGGCTGAATCAACAAAAATGAGAAATATTGTGCATACTGTAGGTTTAAAAAGAGTTAAGAGTTGACCAACAAGCTTTTCTAAGATGCAAACTGCACATCCAGTAAGTGGGAAAACTTCAGCGGTTTCTCCAGAGACTCTGGGAGGATTGTAGATTCTTATGCAGCCAATTATGCCGCTAATTTACAGATGAACTTATGTAAATTGGAACAAAATGCAACGATTCATCCATCATGGAGTAAACATGTCATACAATTCAGAACCAGTGTCCTGCACACGCAGCCACAGAGTAAAATCCAGCAGCAGGACGACAGCGACAGTCCCCTCCGCTGCGTCTAATCCTTGGAAACCACACAAGCAACCACGTTGTCACGCCATTATTTATCAGCCTTAATCCACAAACTAAACATGTTTGATCCTGGCTATTAGCACCTCTTGATCAACTATCTGTTTATGAAAACAGCAGAAGCTGGCATGTCTGCGGTTGACATTCGCTGGAATATTGCACCACCTGGACTGTAACAAGCCATTCTGATGTAATTTAAGACGCATTAGGCAAACAGACGATCGCTATTCCTATGTATGGAAGAAAAAACAGCAGCGTGGTTTTTAAATGTTGACTTTAAAACTTGTTTATAGGTCTGAATTTCCAGGATGTGTACCGATGCAAGGGGGAAAAAAAGTTATTTGTAATGAGGAATATATGCACATATAGCCTACATTTATACAAACGCTGGCGGCTAAAAGGGTCTCCGGCATGTTGTGGAATCATTCCACTACAATGTAAATGACAAAACAGAAATCTTCCTGTGGGGGTTCTTCTTATTCCTATGTATGGGGAACTAAAAAAAAACAGCAGTGTGGTTTTAAGTGTTGACTTAAAAACCTTTTTATAGGTCTGAATTTCCAGGATTTATAATGATGCAAGAGAAAAAGCTATTTGTAATGAGGAATATATGCACATATAGCGTGTATTTATATATATGCTGGTGGCAAAAAGGGTCTCCAGCATGATGTAGAATCATTTCTCTACATCTTAAACTGACTTTAACACTTTTTATAGGTTTGAATTTCCAGGATTTGTAATGATGCAAGAGAAAATGTTATTTGTAATGAGGAATATATGCACATATAGCTTATATGTATATACATGCTGGTGGCAAAAAGGGTCCCCAGCATGTTATGGAATCGTTTAATTTCACTGCAATGTTAATTAAAAAACAAAAATCGTCTCTTGCTATTTCTATGTATGGTAAAGTGTTGACTTTGTTATTGCTCTGAATGTGTAAAGATGCAAAAACAGGGCATTTGTAATGAGAAATATATGCTTAAATGTTGAGACAAAGCCTGTAAGTGAGAAATATATGCGTATACAGCCTGTATTTTATATATGTAGGTGGCCAAAAGGGTCCCCAGCATTTTGTGGAATCATTTAATTCCACTACAGTGTAAGTTATGAAACAAAATCTTCCTCTGTATGAAAACACCACTAATGTTGACTTTAAAACTTGTTTATAGGTCTATACTTCCAGGATTTGTAATGATGCAAGAGAAAAAGTTACGTGTAATGAGGAATATATGCACATAAAGCTTATATTAATGTTTCTACTGGTGGCCAAAAGGATCCCCAGCATGCTGTGGAATCATTTCATCTCACTACAGTGTAAATCACAAAACAAAAACCTTCCTTTGACTTAATCTTATCAAAAGTTAGTAGGAGGGGGTTCCTGCCTCTAATGTGTGTTTATCTGCCATCATTAGTCGTGAAAAAAGTGCGCAGCCTCCGGGGCTTGAGGTCCGCAGGAGGCGCTTTTAAAGTGGACAAATGATTGACAGCCCCTCGGTGACATCACTGTACGACAAAAAGAGTCGCTGGGGGAAGAGAAGGCACCAATCAATTGAACCACTACGGTGTGGCGCACAGCGGAGAGGCGACGCGCTCTCCAACTTCACGTCCAGAAGGAGCGACGCTTGAGTGCGCAAATCTCTCCAAACAGAAAAGAAAAAAAAGACAAACTACAAAACTTTTTTCTCCTTAAGATGTTCAGTGAGGATTCTTTAGATCGGTTACGCGAACTCGCTTCCTCATAGACTTTTTTCTTTTTTTTTGCCTCCTCTCCGTGCTGACCAAGACCTAACCCGATTTTTTTTTTGCAGCTGGTGAGAATATGTGCGAGAGGCGATCGGCGAAGGGTATGGGCTGTCTCTGGTCCCCCAAGGAGAAGCAACGTGGATTAAACACGAATTAATGTGGAATTTATCGGAGCCCAAAGGTGGAACGACGACCGGACACAGCGCTTCCTCGTCAGGTAAAAACATTTTTAAAAAAACAGATGGATTTGATAGAAATGATCAAGAATATGTTGTTTTAAATAACAAACAAAAACCAAAACGAGCTGCTTCGTGAGGAAAAGTTCACTTTACAGCTGGATATCGGCGCTTCTTGCTCTATATGTGATTACAGGGTGTGTGCGTAAAAAGTTAAAGCATTGTTGAAAAGAGGAAAAAAAGTTGGTTTCTTTGGATGATTCTTTCTGCTGTTGTTTTTGATGTGCTGTCCCGGGCTACATCTGGCCCTGGTACGCACGTCAGATCTAACACCTGCGAGCCTCTTGAAGTAACTCTATCCCTTATGATTATACATGACCGTCAAAGCCTCTGCAAACAGACGCTTGTTGCGCCGTCTGCCTGCCTCTGCAGCTCCTGTGCACTCTAACCCCCTTTTTTCTTCTCCTCTCCTGCGTTCTCAAACGCTTCTTGTGATCTTACACGTTTCTTTTCACCTCGACGAACATGATTTCTTATCTCTTCTAATTGGAGACTTTATGTCTGCAGTCCCCCCCCTCCGCAATCCCTTTGATTTGTCTTTTTTTTTTTCTTTCCTCTTTCATAACTTCCTCACCTTGATATTTTCATGTTTCACTTCATGTTAGGACCGAACTTGTGTTTCAGTTAGACGCGCTGTATCGCCGGTGGGGTTGTCTCTTCTTTTTTTTTTGTTCTACTTCAAAGTGAAGAAGGTGTCTTCCCTCTTTTTTTTTAACCTGCTCTCCTTCAATCATTCCCACTGTATGGGGGGATCACACACAGTTTGGGGAATGCTGCTGCACTGAAGCCCCCTTTTTCTTTTTCTTTTTTTTTTGGTTGCTGCTGTGTCCACCACATGTCAATACCTCAGCGCCAGTGTATTGACAGATACCAAAACTTTCTCCGCAGGGACTGACTGATCATGGTCGCCGTGGTCCGCTCTCTCATGGTACTGCTGCTCGCTCAGGTGTTGCTGGAAGGTGCTACGGGACTTATCCCCGAGGTCGGCCGGAGGAAATACAGCGAATCCGGGAAGCAGACCGCGGAGCAGTCGGAGAGCTTCCTCAACGAGTTCGAGCTTCGGCTTCTCAATATGTTTGGACTGGGGCGCAGGCCGACCCCGAGCAAGCAAGCCGTGGTGCCGCAGTACATGGTGGACCTTTACCGCATGCACTCAGCCAACGGAGACCACAGCAGTAAACGGCCCAAGAGCATGGGGAAACACGCAGAGAGAGCCGCCAGCAAGGCCAACACGATTAGAAGCTTTCACCATGAAGGTATGTATTAGTGACATACCTTTACCTGTCAGCCGGAGAGCTGCTCGGAGCTCTCAGACAGCCCAAACCTATATTTAAACATGACTCAGTGCGTCAGGACTGAACTTCAAGAGTCTTCGCTGTTTTATGGAGGTTTAGTCATTTACAGGTGACACGCGTCCAAGTTATTTGTAACTCTTTAATAAGTTTGCCTCGATTTACAAACAAGCAGCTCATGCACGACTAAACGAACTCTCATATATGTGTAGTGATGCAACCTTTAAGCAAACATCCCCCTGGCGCAGCTGTCACCGGCTTCAAAAACATGAAGGGGCGGTGGTATCCCTGGGGTAATTTGTTTCTTAATAATTGATGGTGTTTGCGTGGGCTCTGAAAACAGTTTTTCCAGACACGCACCACGGGAGCAGGATAAAGGGCGGTGTGCCTTTTTGCGCAGGTGATAGTCATCACCCTGTTACTTCAATAACACACGACATGACATTATACTAACACGCATTATGACAAAGTCATCGTGTCAGACTGAATTCTGAGTCATTTTTAACAAGACTGAAATTAGTAACGGAGGAGGACGAGGGGGAGGAGGTGGGGTTTAGCGCGCCTTATTCTTTCCAAATCACCCCCTCTCTCCGTGCCGTGCGCCATTACGCACGTTCCAATAACACCATAATTGCTCACTTAGTTTATATGGTGGATGATTGTTGAATTTTAGTATTTCAGTTCAACTCCGTTTTACTTCCAGGACAACATATGCTGCTCACATGAATGAGGCTTCACACAATGAAGGTTCATAGTAGTTCAAAACTCACTGTGTGTTTTTTCAACTTTACTTATGAAGTGTGGCTATCTTTAAAAAAAAAATCTAACAGAGGAGATTTAAACAGAACAGCTAAGCAGCACAGTGGGGCACCTGGTCATGATATTTCAATGATTTATATGAACTCTCAAACACACAGCAACTGCTTCGACTTCCTATATTCCAGTTTTTACAGCATACAAGTTACCGAGTCCATAGGGGCTCTAACACAGAGTCCTCATACAGAGTCCTAAGTGTTTGACTGGGGAAGTTTCCATCAGGGGTGAGTCAGAGGGGTGGTTGAGTGGTTGCTTGGGTGCTCTCCAGAGGCCCAGTGCAATGACACCAAGTGGCTACACTGACACACTACAAACAAGCCTGGCCTGGGCAGCTGGTCTGAGCTGACTGCTCCCAGCCTCCTACTGGAAACCTCTGCAACCCCGGCCAACACACCTTGACACCACCGGCCATTACCAGTGCGCTCAGGCTGTGTTTACACACAGGGCTGCGGGGTTGTTCGTCCTCCCATGTCAGGAGATGAGCAGCTCCATATAATAAGCGTGTATCTACAGATGTAAATGCGGCACATCAAAGCAAACAGCTCCGATCATTCATCACATCTGGCGTCTGATATTCATTTCACTGGGATAATTAGCTGCGCCGCTATCAGTTTTCAAAAAATAACCATTTTCCATGCCAAATAGAACATTTCCACTATTACAGAGGAAGTGAGCTGCCAGAGACAGGTCCCTGATGAATGACCCGACATTAGCCTTTATCTTTTGTTTTGGCATGCAGCACAAAAAAGAAATTAGGAATGTTGATACACTCATATCTGTGGTTCACACGTTTTTGACAAGCCTTGGCTTGTTCCTTAAAGGAGGGAAAGACGGAGAGAGTGAGAAACGCCGCTGCAGAGAGAATATGGGAAAAAGGAGTGACAAGAGAAGGAGACAGAAAAGAAAAGAGGATTTGGGGCTAAGAGAACAGAGGGAAAATGGGATTTGGGAGCTGAGGAGGGAAAGAAAGAGAGGGATTGGGGACAGAGGAGAGGGAACGAGAAACAGGGGGCTTTCCCACATCAAATGAGGAGTGATGGGCCTAATTGAGGTCTTTGTGCCTCTGGAGGGAGGTTTAGGATGAGATGGTGGAATTTCCTAAATGCCTCCTTTGAAAAAAAAAAAAAAAAAGTTCAAAGTTTGTGTTTACTTTGCCGCACCAAACAGATTAAAAAGTGTGTCTATACATCATCTGTGATCTTCATAAGTAAGAGTTCAAAGTGGGGCTGCCTCAAAGAAAATTGCAGCTTTTACAAAGACTTCTGACATTTACTGCACACTATATACCAATGAACTCAAACGCACATATGATTTTCATATGCCTCAGGACAACAGTTATAGGAGACGTACAGATGGATAATATTGGATAGCATTTCCAGGCTTCCAGTTGACAATAAAACATCCATCTGTCTAAAGATATTCCCTTGAATTCAGACACTAATAGTATGTTGTGTCACTGTAATGGCTCTTAAAATGAATTATTAAATTTCGCATTGCAACATTTAGCAGTGATATTTCAGAGCTTGCAAGTTCTGTAAAGGTTAATGCAACAGTTGGCCTTTATTCAATCATTTTTACATCGATTACTACTGTCCATGCTCACCATTGATTATATAGTGCAACTTTTTTCTTCATGTGCACTGCTGGAAGTTGTGCACAGCAGGCAACTCTCAGCGCAAATGAGCCATTTGAAGGCAGGCAGACGAGCCTGTTAGATCTTATCAATGGATGGAAGCGCACTGCTTTCATCTGCTGACATTTAGCCAGGCGAACCTCTGAGTAACACACGCTAATGACAGTATTACATCACAATAAACATTTGCCTGCAATTACACTGAGTCACACATGCAAAGTGTGGATATACCTGTGTGACAATGGCCAACAGCAGCTCACTGTAACCACGTGGCAGCTTGGCTGGCTGCACACAGAACAAGCTCTAAGTTATGTGTGAGTGACTGTTTCCCTGCTGGATCCATGCAGTCTGCTAGGATTCATTCATAGATGTTGTTTCTCATTCTTGTGCTCTGCCTAAATTCTTTGCCTCATGTTTAGTATGCATTTCACACAGCTATCATCTAACACTATGGTTGTGTCTCTGCTGTCCTTTGTAGAGTCTTTGGAGGCCCTGGCCAGCCTGAAAGGCAAAACAACCCAGCAGTTCTACTTCAACCTCACCTCCATCCCCACTGAGGAGCTCATCACCTCTGCAGAGCTGCGCATTTACAGGGACCAGGTCATGGGAGCTGCAGCCCCCAACAACCGCAGCACTAGTGACAGTGCTCCAGCTGGTGGCTTCCATCGCATCAACATTTATGAGATATTCGGAGTTCCTCGCAGTGCAGAACCTCTGTCGCGTCTGCTGGACACTCGGCTGGTGCAGGACTCTTTGAGCCGCTGGGAAAGCTTTGACGTCAGTCCCGCTGTATCTCAGTGGGCCTCTGGGAAAGGCCACAATCACGGCTTCGTGGTGGAGGTGCTTCACCCAGAGGAAGGGGAGACGGATGGCGAGCACGCCAAGAGACAAAGCAGGCATGTGAGGGTGAGCCGGTCCCTGCACCAGGACCAGGACTCGTGGCCTCAGGCTCGACCCCTGCTGGTGACGTATGGCCACGACGGCCGCGGGGACTCGGTGCTCCATACACGGGAAAAAAGGCAGGCGGCGCTCCGCAAACAACGCAGGAAGCACCAGCACAAGGCGAGCTGCAAGAGGCATGCCTTGTATGTGGACTTCAGTGATGTGGGGTGGAATGAGTGGATAGTGGCACCCCCTGGCTACCATGCCTTTTATTGCCATGGGGAATGTCCTTTCCCCCTTGCTGACCACCTCAATTCTACCAATCATGCCATTGTGCAGACGCTTGTCAACTCAGTCAACTCAAACATCCCCAGAGCCTGTTGCGTGCCCACTGACCTCAGCCCCATTTCCCTGCTCTACCTGGACGAATACGAGAAAGTCATTCTGAAAAACTACCAGGACATGGTGGTGGAGGGATGCGGCTGCCGGTGAGAAACCGGTGGTCTGGGTAGAAAGAAAGCGATGGCGGGCAAGAGAGACTGAAAGAGATCAGAGGTTATTATGGACACCCGGTTTCCCAATGAAGACGTTTATTTATATGAAAGAAAAACACAAAACAGAGCTATTGTGGAAGAAGAAAAAAAAACTATATATGAATATATTTATGTCTACGTAAAAGTTGGGAAAAAAAATAAATATTTTAATCAAAGGAATATTCCTTTACTGGTTTTGAAAATGTATTTCTGATGTACATTTTGAAATGGGTGCAATACCACATGAAGTATAATGCTCAGATTTTTATTTTGTATTTATTTCTATTATAACCACTTTATTTGTAAATAAATAATGTGTATTTATCGTGAAAAAAAAAAACGTGGTCGATCCAGTTTTCCAAGAACCAGCCGCTGAGGGGGGGGCGGGGGCGGGATGACATGTGTGTGGCTGCCGCGAATACGAGACAGAAATTACCTGCGAAAATACAACACGACGACGAGAAGCTCGCACCACACTGATTGCAAAACAAGCACTGAACTATTTGGGTAAATGTAATTGGAAACCAACAATAATAGAAGTTTAGGAGAGGAAACTGACAAGACTGGGTCACTGGTGTAGTGAACTGTAGTACGGCGGAGGACAATTTACATGCCCACAAATGTGATAGACTCCCAGGGGAGGATTAGAAAAGCAGCAGAGCATGTTTTTAAGCATTACATGTCACTGCAAAGATCCCTGGGAAGACTCCTCTAAAAGCTAGCTCCTGTGTTTATTCTGTTCCCGACCAATATTATCGGATGAAGAGAAGCAAAAAAAAAAAAAAAAAAAGTGAATCTGCAGCAGCGCCTCTGTGGAAGGTCTGACAGGGCACGAGGTTTATTTACAGTGCAGGCAGAAAAGATTGCAAACTGCGGCAGACAAACGCACCGACAGGCCCTCAGCGAGAAAAAGAGTCTGCTGGCACTTTAATTAATAAAGACAAACAAACACACACCTGCACCTGTCCACATACTGCACATGCTCAGACAGATTCTTCCCACTTGAGAGTTTGGCTGCCTTCCTTTGTCATCTCTGAGTCATAAGGCTCTAATGTGTTTCGGCACTAAAGGGGAAGAAAAAAAACAAAAAAAATACAGGAATGTTTCACAAAACAACTCGGCAGCAGCAGATAATGAACTGCAACAGAAACAATATCGCACACGCTGACACCAAAAATTCACTGAGACAATAAGGGACAGCAAAAGCAAACATACAAAACATCATATGTTGCAGTAAGGCAGAGTCTGAAGCGAAAAAACTCTGCAGTGTTTTCAGTAGAAAGCAAACAATGTCATATCTAAATCAAAGTGAAATGCCTAAAACTGCTCCAGAAAAGACATGGATGAGAATTTATAGTGTCGCCACAATAGCAGATCAGATAATGAGAGAGAGAGAAGAGAAACAGAGAGGAGGAGAGAGTTTTTGCGGAGTTTGACTGACTGCGTTTTCTGCTGTGTTTGCATTAGAAAGGGTTTGGAGGGATCACAAGGCAGCTGAAAATGCTCTAAATAGACTGTTTTTATGTGAGCGCACATTGGGACCGTGGAATGTTGGTTTTCAATCTCAGACACATGCATACGCTTGCATGGAAAACCAACGTGGTTGTTTTTTCAATCATCTATTCAAGGGTTTCCTGGTGGGCTTTTTCTCTTCAAAAACAAATGTGCATCGAACAAAGATACGCTTGTTACTTATATAGGAAATGTAAATCAAAACATTAAGAAGGAGCCGTGAGACTTTATTCAGGGGCTGTAAAAACACCAGAGTGTCACTTTTTTTTTTTTTATTGTTTTTTTTTTTTTTTTTCTTTCCCTCCGCGGGCTTCGGATCACGTCTGTTCGCCCATTCTTATCCTCCGAGGGGGTCCTTCTACTCAAGATGATGCAACTATTTAATTATATTACACCCTCCCGGCACAAGCATACACACACCTCCTCCCACATTTCAATCTCCCTGCATGTGCTATTTTATTCTACCTTGCATCTCCACCCCCCCCCCACTCGGTCCCATCTGGTGTCCATTTTTTCCTCTGTGGATCCCACCATATACCGCAAACCCTGCACATGGAGCTGCACATACCTCTACCAGTAGCAGCGCCGGTTTAATGGACTTTAGGAGGAAGTCACTTTGCTGGCACACTTAATGAACACTTGATAAAAATCAACACTAAAAAAACTTTACCTCGAAAAAAAAAAAAAGAATGGAGGAGATTTTTTTTTTTTTTGCGTTTAAAAAAAGTGTGAGATTTAGTGCCTTTATAGTTCAAGTCCATAAACCTTTCATTGGGTTGGGTGGAAATACTGCTCCCAGGGTGGGTGACACATGGGCAGCGCTCCTGAAACTCCCCTCCTGCGCCCCATCCCGGCTGAATTGGGTTCCAGTGGCTGCTATGAGTCGACCACTGTTCCTCCACCTTTTGGGGGGGGGGGAGGTTTTCCTTTTAGAGCCACGCTAGTATGGGACAGCTCCTGAGGGACCACTTCTAAACTTCTCACTAAGAAGAGGGGTCAGGGGTCAAAGTAATAAGGACCTATTATCTCCGACTGACTTCCAGGCTCATCATGGACTTCAAGTGTGGTCAGAGAACATGCTTCAGGTTCTGTTCTTTTTCTTTTACCAGCGTTCTAAAAACATCTATTTAACAGCATGAAAGAGCTGATGATGAGCTAAAAATTGGGTCTGTGTGCGACAGAGAATTTCATGATTAAGTTATAAAAGCACAACTGTGTGTGAGATATGTGTTCTTGGCAGGACTGTCTTCACCTGCTACACAGACCTCTGCAAAGTCGCTCTCTGAAAACAGATTTTCCCCTTCCTTCTCCATGAACATCTGGTAAATCAGTTAAAGGTGTCCTTCGCTGTCTTTGTTTACGCACAAACACACAACAGAACCGCCGCACAACTGATGAGCATAACACTGGGAGCTGGGACCTACTAGCGTGGCAGGGCTCATTCATTTTGTTTGGTGCGCAGCAAAACCACACCAAAACTATCTGCAGCTCCAAACAACCCAAATCGTGAAGGGTTATAAAATCAGATTTCCAGATTTCTGGCCCGGCCCAGAATTGGAGAGTATGTGGTGTGCCGTGTATCTTTGATGAAACGGAGATCTACGCTGGCCCAGCGCCAACGCGGGACACGAAAATTTAGAGAAGTGAAGAGAGACAGCGGCCACTTTAGAGTTTTTTTTGGGGCCTTTTCTTCTTCATGTGCTGCACACACTAATTTTAGAGGTGGTGCACATGGTGTTTTTTCTGTATTCCGAGAACAGCCAGTGAGATGACGTCCAGCATAGCTAAGACTGTGGCATCTGTGCTGCAGCTCTGAACACATCAAACAGACGGGCGTCCACAGATTCAGGAGCAGACAAATATGGAAATTACTTTTCCAGAATGACTGCACGGATGATGGTGCTTTTACATATATACAATCTTTGCCTTTCTTTCTTCCACGCGCGCATGTCTGCGGATTACAGCTTACCTGCGAGCCCGTGCCGCAGACGTACCACTTGTGACTCCTTAAACGTTGCTACTTTCACATTGTAAAAGGCATGTAAGAAATGACAACATTACTAAAAACTAACTTCTGAACTATGTTCTGCTACTACCATTACTGTAAGAGCTAATCATCCATGCAATTACAGTGGAGCTGGCCTGGAGTGACATGCTGAAATCATTACCTCTGGCTGGAGCTCAGTGGAATAGACCATTATATAGCCTTACACTCACAACGTGCTGCTAAGCTACAGCACAGAGTTAAAAGCCTGACTGCCACAATGAAAAAAAATCAATGGATATTAACATTAGAGTTGCTCATCTCTCATTTAAGGGCTGAATAACCCACATTGTTCTCATTATATCTGGATATTTATGCGCAAAACTCTCTGTCATCTGCTCTTTCTGCATTTATTGCAACTACTTTATTAATATAGAGGGAGAAAACACGGGGGATTCTTGATAACGCTATTAATTTTCCTCCATTTTTTTTTTTTTTTAAACTCCAGCAAGAATGCAGCTCAAGATGTGTACCTTGCACTTTGTGGGCTAACACATTTCCACAGAGGATACAGGAAGGAGTTCCATATGGGCCACATATGGGCCAACAGGCTCGGGGATGGATTTGCCTCTAGACACTGATCTAAGGTCAGTGTCGTGTTTGCTCCTCTGATGGTTACAGTTAGGTTTGGGGTAAAAGGGTTAAACCCGACTGATCCTGGAACCTTGCCGAAGGGCGTCTCCTACACACCGAGCTTGAAAGAGGCCGTGTGGTTACGGGAGCAGCCTCCATCTTTGTAACAGGAAGTAAAGAGATCAATCAAAGGGAGCTACATGACATCCCCCAGCATGCCTGTTAAATAAATGTCAATCTCAGGCACAATAAATCTCGCGCATTACCACGCATACAACTTCAAAACAGTGATGTTCACATTCTGAGCTGGCAATGAAAAGAAAGCTCTGAACTTAACTGTCTTGTCTGATGACAGAAGAGTTGACAAAAGATGATAATACGCAATGAATAATGATGAAAAGCTACGACTTAGAAAACACCCACGCTCTCTCACACACACGATAAAACACATATCGATGTTTCTATTCCCTGTATTTATGTGTACATAAAACAGAAAGTGAAGATGGCATAGTTTTTAACTTTCATCTTAACTTTCTTTAAGTTTAGACTTTTGAACCATAAATCAAAGCAAGGAAAAATAACAACTATTACACCATTTATCAGAGCCAGAAACTGTAAAAACAGGGAATCATTGTTTTAAAACTAGCAGTCTGCCCTTGAAGTACTCATCTGTGATCTGCTGATAGATGGAAAACCAAAATATTCTTTTAAAATTCTTATATTTAATCCAAATCACCCTATTCTGCCTGTCTCATTCAAAAAAATGCCCCCAAATAAATCATTTGTAAGGGATTCTGTGAAAAACATTCCGCACTCTCAAGCACAACCAGGAAGTCATTAGTGACTCAGCTATAACCAACAATCCTTTGACAAAAAACTCCGGGACTTTTCGGCTGAGCTGCAGGCTGTGTTTACAGAGCAGAGAGGAGATAAGTATGGGCCCAAATTAGAGACTGAAAGGAAAATTAAACACACTTGAGCAATAAAATCAATGCAGCATGA